CCCACTCATTTTCTCTTCACTATAAGGCTTCTAATACAATCATATATATATATATACAACTAGACGAACCTTATGGTTGTATGGAAGTGAAGCATCATTGCCAGCACTGATGTTACTGTCTTTGATGACGATGATGATGATGATGATGACGATGATGGTGATGATGATGATATCTCCAGTGAGCTATTTAGCAGCAAATGCTGGGTCCCAGCAGTAAAATGCAGATATAGTGATCTACAGATTCAGATCTTACCCGAAGTCCGTTTATGGGACGTGGCCCCTACTCAAAATGATAAGACTAATTCTGCGGTTTTGTGACATTAAAATGGTTGTGAAATGAAACGATAGTTTTTGACGGCATTTTTTGGGTCTGCATTACAGGGTACTTTATTACTAAGGCCCGGCTTACGCTAAAATTCAATATATCCCCCACTATTTGGTAAAGGCTCAGTAATTGAAACAAATGCTGTGAACTCATTTTGCTGCCTCGGAAACAACCTACATTTTGTCGGTGGCAGTTTAGTGATCCACTGGGCTGATAACACGGTAATTCGCAGAATTTTCGACAAATCAAGAACAATACAAATCCTTGGGAGTACAATGCCTTTTTCGCTAAATTTGGTATATTAATCACTTGTCACGTGACAAATTCTACCCACGAAAGTAGTGATTTCCATTTCGTAGTTCAACAAACTGACGGGCTGCGCAGTCGGGATTCCGGGTGTACTTTTCGAAATCATGGCTTGGTTAATTAGAACAACTGAGTTTCTTCTGATAACCAGTATGGAAGCACAGATGTTAGCCCATTTATTTAAAATTACAGCCGGAAAGCGTCTGGGCTGTTGTTTTTAATGACCGATCGTAATTTCGTGATACCACGCGGTTTTGAGTGATATTCGGTGGCAGAATAATCCATCCTAACTAAATCTTTGCGAGTTCAGGTAAACCTACTTTTATTAGAACTGAGGGCATCATTTTTCTTGGCGAGAACCTCGTACTGGGTAGATTCACCAGGCACTACACTCAGCTACCGTGAGATGAATTGTGGGGCAGCCTTTTGTCAGAGCCTCGACCAAGTTGTGATCTCTTCCAAGTGCCTATTTAGGTTTCATTCACGGATTCGATGATATAAACATTTTCCAAAGACTGCGAAACACAGAAGAAGCTTGACTCATCTTGCTAGACCTCAGCTTCCAGTCGCCGCTGGCGTCATAGTGAATATGTCTGCCTTATACACGGTCTAGTGCGGGACAGGCATTCAGCGACGTGAATGATAAAGCATAAACCTCCAGGAAACAAAAATCAAACACACCCTGCAACGCCTTCGTTACTTGTCTTTAACAGATTAATATCAGTTGGGTAACACCTCGTGAAAACATAAACCTCGCTAGTATACCGAACGACAGTGAATATAGGAATAAAACCTGACGTTCCAGTTTGCTGCTTTAGCATGGCGCTACAGAAGAACGCGACTGACGCTGAAGACTAGTGAGAGCACGGCTGCTAAATGGTTCCACTCACACCTTTAGGGCTTGCTAGTTTTCTAATCTGCGCAACAGTAAAGGTCGCCGGAATAGTACTCAGTGGTACATCTAAGGTAAAGCGTGTCCCTATCTATAGAGAAAGGTCTATGTATGTCACCAACTCCACCTCATTATTACTCAATAAAATAGTTGGGGAATTTTTACGCTGTAAATATATTACAACAAAAAACGTCAGCTATCTTCAGTATAAAACAAGACTACCTCCAATCTTACTTGAACATTGATTAGCCCGCAGTATTAAGGCAGTGAAGAATCGATGTTGAACATTGATGTCATGTCGATGATGATGACGACGACGATAGACTACTTGGGTTGACGATACTCCACCTACGTGGGAGCATGATTATGTAACTACACACAATCTCTATGAGGAAACTAAGAAATAGCCCAAATTCTCAACAGACCTTGTTGGTCTGCCAGCATTGTTGGTTCTCACTACTACTAAACCCGTCTTTTAACGCATTCGCATTCTGACATTACAATAAAATGACTAGTGATTCGTGTTCTCCTAATACGCTGAATGTTGATCACGGGAAGCGAGTCATAGGGCGGTTTACTCTGCTCAGCACTAACGGGACTTGACCACAAAAGGCCTTCGTTCGTTCTCTCATGCCCTACAGTTTGTGGTTTAGACGGCAACTTAGAATTACTGCCTTTCATAACCTTCACTTGCATGGAGAAGAGATTTCAGGAGTTGTTTCTTTTATTGCCTATTACTGTGAATACATTCGATTCCATACAGAAAGTCAGAATTTGCAGTTTGGGTTTTTTGTAACCCGTGTATACGAATCTTTTATTTTTTTTGGAACAGGATCCTCGTGGGGAATGAAATCGAGAGCCTGAATCGATCCAGTTTTGAGGGGCTATCGAACCTAAAAACACTGTGAGTATACTTTTCTTATTTGTGGGCTATGTAACAAACATTAAAACATTTTGTGCTTGGACCTACAATATCCGTAGTATTCTGTTGATAACTTTTGTGTGCGCGTGAAAACCTGGGTATATTCTTACAAGAAAACAGGGTAGGTCTTGGACTAACTCTGAACAAAACGCTGTAGCCAAGGTGCCTCTTGATCACTCATGACCTAAAGAATTGTTGGCGCTTTTCAGCCCTTGAAAAAGCAGACCATTTGTAGATTGGAAGGACAGTGTTTAATGCGTACAAGTGGTCGTTATTTCGATGAAGCGTGAGATGAGCGGAACAAATAAGTTACGTTCCGTTGGAGGTGGAGGTGTGACGCGAAGTTGAACTCGTTCTACAAGTCAGACCAGTGTATAGGTGCTTCCTTTTTGAAGGCCTTCTGAGGCATACGTGCCTTAAAAAAAATATGCTGCCATCAGACAGTGTAAAAAGACGCTAGTCACACACACACAAGTGCTAGCTTACCACAATCACTCCGAGGTGCCTACACCTCCAGACATTCACTCAGGCAATCTGGATAGAACAAGAACGCCACCGACATCGGTTGGCAGCCATATCTTCTGGTGTCTCCAATCAGACACAATGAGGATCACGTGGTCCCCACCCTGGAAGTCGAGTAGCACCGAGAGCACCCAAGCGTTTCGTGATCTCCTTCATACTCCTCTGCTAAGTCAAGGGTTGGCCACCCCTCTGTTTACGCCCAACCAACGCAGCTTCTGGTGCTGGACATATTCTTCAATGGGAGTACCCGTTGCACAACCGAAAACTCGCATTCTAACTGCCTCTTTACGGATTCACCGACACCAACCCACACGAGCTATGGGACCATATAAATTATTAGGCAACAAATAACCATTGTACTGTTTGGACTGCGCAGTAATTTCGAATACCGAAACAGATGAACCATGTAAACTGGGTTCGTTATCTGGATAACACAATGACAGACAACTCAGCAGTGTCTCAAACAACATGAAAATTCAGGCTGGACACTTAGCCCTCCGCTTTTGTCAGTGAATCGTTATGCCGGAACAGAGGCGAACGTTCTGAGTCAGTTTGCAGTGGAGAACCTCATCTGAATAGTGTTCATGGTATCAGTTTGCTTTCGGATGCACTTTAGTGAGCCGAATGTAGGCCACCTGTTAATGAAAAATGAATCGTCTAGGGCATAGATTATCCTAGAAATCACCACTAGGTACCTACTGTTCACAAATTTTACCTCCGTTGTTCAGCAACGATGATTTTTGCTCAATGTTAAAATTCACGTTCGGAATAATCCACTTGTGGCTTCACTCAGAAAGCATCATTCGGCTAGCGATAGAACGGTGTGGCTTCAACGCTGGTTCATTGGCAGAAAGAAAAACAGTGATTTGACGGAGGTAGTTGCCGATGCAGCTAAATGGATAACACTTGTGGTGCGGGTGGAACGAATAAACGCACTGTCAAAGACATTCAGACGGGGGGATTCTGATTTTCTTAGCAACCATCGACTGATATATCACATTTAATAGAAGAGAAAATGTGACTGTTGACACCCTCGATAACAAAGCCGAGGGAAACTCCAAAAGGATAGCGGTTCTCGCTGACCAATTCATACTTGGGCTAGCGTGTATGCCTGCGGGAATTAGTGTGAATAACAGAACGAGTTGTCAGTCCTGGCGTCTTGTGTACACCTTATTTATCTGGCTGTTCTCGAAGTCCTACCTTCGGAAAGCCTGCAACTAGCCGATAAATTATTGGAATAGCGTTCTTCCTAGATTCGTTGCCTCAATACACCGAGAAGCTATTCAGAGTCAGTAGCAGTATGCGGGTAACAACTAACCAGCAGTTTTCAGGATGGTTCAATTTTCGGAGCGAATTCAAAAGTATTCGATCTTTGAGGAGAAGTTCCTGTCGTACAACCACCTTTTTTTAATTTTTATCCCAAGTTCACGATATCCAGAGAGGGTGATCAGCAGTGTCAGTGTGTTGTAAATCGAGGAACTCAAATGCGGAACCAAGAATGCATACTCAGTCGTATGTCAAAAGACTGCAGTTAATCGCGGAACGGTGTTCATCGCGGATGATTTTACTACGTATGTATCTTTGCAGCTGTCCCCGACATTTGTTGGTATTGTCGATCATGGAAGTGGAATAAACCAGGAAGATTGGTCAGGGGGAAAACGGCTTGTCGGCCGTTAAACTCCAAGCTAAATCTCCCACGACCATTGTTGTTCCAAGTTGTTTTCAAAACGTCCCATTTCACATATACACACCTTCAAGTGCGGTCAAGACGGCCACGAACACTGATGATGTTCACAATTAGATTCTAATTAAGGCAGGCTTGACAAGCAGCTTATTTATGATGTTTCCCAAACAACGACCAATGACTGCCGAGAATTTCCTCGTTAATACGAACCGCGATGTTTTGTTTTTCACAGCCCAAGTGATACCGGACTAATGGTTAAATTCACCACGTTAATGCCTCTGACCGAAGTGAACGCTGACCACAACGTGTTTCATAATTAGCCGACTATATCATAAGCAAAGTGCCAAGTGTTACACAACGCTTAGCAAAGCACATCCCGCCGTACTGAACGTTGTCAAATAAGCATTACAAAGTTATAAATGTTTGGAGCTTTTGGTTCGAAAAAGCCGTTATTTTTCTCTAAAAAATTGCTTTATTTCCAAAGAATTTCAGTAAAAATATCGAAACCACTCACAGTTGATAGAGTAGCCTGTAAGGAGTAGGACAACACCAAAGCTGATGCTAAAATAGTCTGCATTCATCGGGGGGTTTGTTATCTTATCAAACTCTGTTGACGCACTAATTCGTGACCATAAAATGCTCGAACGGCCATAGCGGTTGACAGTACCTATTTAGGAATATTTCATATGGATCGTAGGCGTCCGTGCCGAGATCAGCCATGGTTGGACTAACCGTAACTATCGAAAACAGTTAGGCCTGTAACAGTAGTGTTGAAAATCACTGCCGGTTTGAATAAGATATCAGGAATCAAGGGGACCACAGACCGGTTACAGTCAGCTACACCAGACATGCTAAACGCAACTGTAAGTTTTTCCGTAAGTTTTCAGAAGGGCTTCCAGAATGCACATGGTCACCAGCATTTACGGTAAATCTAGATTCCCGGTGTTCCGCTTTGATGTCATTGCGTTTGGTAAGGCCGACCTATGTCTATATTTCCCATCGAATATCAAAGACTTTCCGTTACGGACCTCAAACAGAATGCTGTCCCATCTTAGGTGGTCGAGTTTCTTCAAAGTGTGAGACAGCTCTTGCGGTAGCCACCATCTGCATTTGCGAAAGCTTGTCTCACGACAGCACCCCAAAGGCTTTCAAAGTTCACATCCCCGTTTCTCTAAGGGGTCAGAATTATTGCAGCTGATCAAGTGCCGTTTCGCCTAACCTCTTTTCGATTCATCTTCCTGGTTTGATAGTGCTAGAGGAGTATAACAATAGGGGAGACGCAAATCTACGTGGCAGACATATTGTAGTCCTTGGGTTGCTTCCATCTTACTCTGTCCGGTGTATGATATCACAGTGCTGTCCCATAGAAATGAATCACTGTCCAGTCAGAGTTTCCTTAAATGGACAAAGCATGACCATTTTTCAATCAAGGTTGTCTGCCGGTCTTCCAAATGTGGCCAAATTTGCTTGCTACGTTTCAAAAGAACGCAAAACTACCCACCCAAAAGTGTTCGAATCCCACGTACTCGACATTCCCATTCAGGGATAGCTACAAAGGAGTTGTGTTGTGAGATCCGAGATAAATCAGTCTTGGTGCTGTAATTCTCGGTGCGCACCTGAGCCCGGAAACCGTAACTAATGATGCTAGATAAAAAATCACAGTATGTTTTGGGCACCAATTCAATGGTTTCAAAGATGGCCGTATTCCAACTGAATCTGTTTTCAGTAGTGACTGGTCACATTTGACAGGCTTATTTTGAATGAACATAATGCGGTTACATCCATAAATTTCACGTCTTTGCTGCGCCGGAAAGCCTTTTCGAATCAGAAGCATGAAATAATAAGCGAGGAAGATGGGCGAAGTCTTTTGAAGTGGAGGGGAACATGTATCGTTGAATCCTCCCTGACCTTATCAGTTTTTCATTGCAGGTCACCAAGCTGGGGCATTAGTTTCTGACTCCGCCGATAAGTTGATCACAGCTGAAAGTTTCATGCACATCGGTTGTTACCGCGCCATACCTGCATAGCGGCCGGACTGCGTAGGCTTTCAATAGATGGTTCTGTCCAAAATTCTGTGGAAATCAACGCAAATTCACTTAAGGAAGCCAATTATTCTGTTTTTGGTCCATCTATCCAAATCAAATGGCCATCTTTTGTGCTCATATACTGTAACATACTGTTCCCGCCTGCCTGAGTTTAGCCATATTTTGAAGCTCTTACTAAACTGAATTAAAAGATTCTAAGTCTCGCGACATGATGTGATGAACAGAAACGTTTACCAGTTGGAATCACATTTCCAAACCATGCGTTTGTCTATATAATAGTATGTTAAGGCTTATCACCATAATTCCATGTGTGAAAGTAAGCCATGAAATCAAAAAGGGAGTTCAACAAATGAACTCATCTGCATGCGAATTTGTTTTTCATCGGAAGCGCACCTGGAACCCAACTGAGTCTCTCGTTTACGACGTTCTTCTGCAACTGTATATGCTGCACCAGGCCGCCTCGTGTTTCAGTTGGTGCGATATTCGGGAGCTCGCGGTATATTTTTTCATAGAAAAAAGTATTTAGAAGGTTGCTGATAGTCCCCACAGCCTGTTTCGCTCTTCTTGGGACTCCTCGGATAGGCGCAACCATAAACTAGAGATTCAGTTCGGTTCCAGATGTGTCTGTCTTCGAAAGTGAATCGGTATGCAGATGAGTTTATCAGCGGAGTTTCGTTTTAAATGAGAACATAGGGCTGATGTAAACTCGGGGACTGTGCCTAGCTCATGAGCCTCGAGAAAGGCGACACCGGTTGTTGGGTGTCGTAGGGTTTTCGCGAACTCTGTGAGTAGTTTATTACGTATTTTACCAGTGGGCAGTTGCATGTAGATAGTCTGCAGAAACCAGGTTTACAATCACTCATCACTTGGTGGAAGTCCCTGTACTATGCTTCCCCCAGTTTATTAGAACGTTCAAAGTCTAGTAAGTCCTTTTGGTCTTTTACGGCGAGCGGGATCTGGTAAATTACGACGAGTAATTCCACCGGATTATTGTGGTTTAGTTAGGGGACGCGCAAGTACACAGACTCCATGCAAGCATGCCAAATCATGACCGGGATTCAGGTGTATCTATTCCTGAGAAAGAATCCATTTTTATTGACCGGAGGATTGTTTTTATGAGCCTATCATTGGGGATCAAATCAAGCAGGATCCCCTATGTGTGTGACCTTTTATAAGAGGATCAACAACACTTATGCGACTATTCGCACAACGGATATGTCCAAATTCTTGTTGCGGGCATTTTCCGCTAAATCATTGTTATATATGTGTATCTGTTTATCCGTTCCAGAGTGATTTCAAACAATCGAATAAGATCGATTGAACCCAGAACGTTCGAACAATTAGTCTCACTTCGACGCCTGTAAGTACTTCCTCTTCCGTACTCCGCTCCACCTGCAGATGTATGCTCTCTTCATTGCTGAGTACTCCAGCACAAGTATTCTGGCTCGTATTCTGAGTCATGCTAATCAAAGTGTAATGACTGAGTCCAAACATTCTTTAAAAATGGTTGAGCCACCCAAATCAAATCAAGAAGTGCATTTTTACTTCTCAGTACCTAAACTAAATAAAAGGAACTTTGATCACTAGTTTATTTACTGTTTGAAATGAGTTCTCACAGTTGATCGTTGTACTAAGGGGCTAATAGCTCTGCCATCTTGGCCTCGAGTAATGAGACGTAGTTGATGACGTGACGTTATCCATCCTGGATGTGTAAAAAACGCGTACATACTACTAATTTCTAATAAAAACAAAGCTGGAAGGAATGGTATTGTCTCAAATTGCAAGTGTGTCTGTTGGAAGGCCAGAATTTAAGTGGAGTCGAACTAGAACATCGCACTGAAAAGTTACCTCTGAAGCCATTACAGGATTGTGTATCAGTCCAAAAGTGATCGCCAATGTTAGATTACTGTTTGTTGCTGTTTTACGAAAAATTCATGATATACCAGCAAACTGAAATCTTCAAACCTTTGGACCTATCAGTATAGATCTCCTGTTGCTCAAGGGCAGAGTGCTTCTTTACAATAGCCTTCATTCAAAAGTCTATTGAGAGCTGTCCTGTTTTGCATAAAGAACTGGAAAAGATAGTTTCCAGCTGATACGGCCTGTCTTGCCAAAAATTGAGCCTTGATCCTGTCGACTAGAGACAAACAGCTTTTTTGTAGTAACCGTCAGATAAATCACAACAGCATTTTATGTAAATGATGCGAGCCATGTATGGATGATTTACTCCCAGGAGTAGTGCTGCCAAGCCGCGTTTACAGTTGAAATATTCGATCCATGAGGTTTTAATTGATTTAAGCGTTGAAGTGTTCCACCTGCTTGTAAAGTTATCTACGAAGGTCAAACTGACACCAGACTAGCGTTCTTGAGACACAGAAATGTGTCAGCTGGTGTTGATAACATCCCGAAAGTAAGTGTCAAATTACTACCGAAGTTCACTTTCTGCACTGGCAGACGGATTTCGGTCGAGAAGGAAACATGTGTGGCAACCTCAGCAGACTGCTTCGTTGAAAAGTATTCAGCAAAACCAAATTTTCAGGTAATTCAGCTAGGGAACTTCGTGGAGTATTTAACTGATAGGCTAAAATCATATAAGTAACCAACTGCGCCACACACCGGTAAGGCAGACGACGTCAACAAAAAACGTCATTTTGGAACTTACATCCATACGTGTCATGCACGACAAATTTCATGAAATTCCTCTAGGAAACGAAAAAAACTTTTGTCTACCTGTGCCGTCTGTTGCTATACACCTGTCCTGCAAATGCTTTTGCATCCCTGCCGAGAGTAAATGAAATATGTGCCCATCTCGTACGCTCCATATAATGGCTGTTCTAGTAAAACTGTGTAAATTGATCCAATATTTCAACTTCTCGTTAGTTATGACTTGGGGTACAGAGATTGCTGAACGCCATGCCGATCTACTTCACTAAACTTTCATCAAAAATTTACAAGTGTATCTAATATCGGACAACTTCAAGCCGAAATAAGTGAAATATCGCGTTACGCGACTAGAAAATGGTTTAAAACCCTGGGTACGATCCCCTGGTAGGCGATACAACCCTCTGTGAATACCATTTAAGGATAGAACATTTCCGATAAGCAGAAATCGCAGAATGAAGGGAATACTGTACTTTTTGAACGATATTTTTCTATCAGGAGTCAACCGATGTTTAGTCAGTCGGAAAATTCTCTCTTTATCCTGCTCTTTCCCTGACTACTGTACTTCAACACAACCGTCCTAACACCTCCATTGTTTTGTATTTTAACCTAACAGGCGCCTCAGCCGCAATGAACTGAAGTCACTTTCACGAGAGGTTTTGAGTGGTTTGTCACAGCTGCAACGAATGTAAGTTTCATTCCACATGCGATTCACACAAGTGTTTCTCTAGTTGATACATTTTAGTTCTGCGCTTCCTCGTGTAGTTGAGATTAGCGCTTTTCGTTTAAAAACCTCACTAAAAATATGACTCCTACTATTGATGGTTAAGCAGAGATACGCTTGTTAAGATAGAAACAAGCGAATGTGTTAAACGATGAACGGAAAGATGACCAATGTGGAAAGAAATGGAAACTTCCTTTTTAGGAAAGAACATGCAATCAAACTACATTTTAACTTACACCATTTTAGGAAAGTCATTCGGTTGTAGCAACCTTTTGGTGTTTAACTGCCATGCTACCAGAAGGAAGCACGAGGGCTGATATGATACTGCCAGTTTGTTCAAACCTAGGAAGGAGAGGTCGAAAGTCAGAGGTCGGGGCTCGAACCACAGACCTTCCGGGCAATTAATTCGCGCTCTCATCAACATCTTATTTTAGGAAGAATTTTGTGATACACTTGCGTGAGTGTCTGGAGGTAAAGGCACCTCGGAATTGTTGTGGTTTTTTTTTCTTTACAATCATGGTTGTACGGCAGTGAAGCTGAACACTGATGTCATGCTGTCGATGATGCTGATGAGCGCAAAGTTGTTGTTTTTTTAGGATACAAAACTATTCAATAATTTTGCTCTAGGTGATGGCTGACCAAGCTAATTGCACACATGAAAGGAAAAAACAATTTGTGTATCACTGTGAGTGAGTAACTAAGGGAAGCAACATGCTGCGATTTCGCGGTTGTTAAGTTTACTTTCACAAAGGCCTTCTTCACAAAAGACACTCAGGAAGTGTGGCAAAAATACTGACGATGAGTTGCAGCTACGATTATGCAAAGTGTTCTTGGAGAAACCAATATACTGAAACCAAATAAACGTGTTGTATTTTCATAAACGAAACTAATCACAATGTTGCTGAAAACTCTTCGACAGCCCACAACTGATTTCGCCCTTCTCGGGGCTCATCAGGTAGGCGCAGTCCCCGAGTTTCCGTCAACCTTATGATCTACTTGAACACAAATTGTACTGTTTTCGAGAAGTATATTCATTTGCATATCAATTTGGTTTTCACGAGAGACTCAACTGAATCTCTCGTTTACGATATTCTACGACTGAATGTGTTGTACACAGGCCACCTCATGATTCAGTCGGCACGATATTCCAGATATCGCAGTACATTTTCATAAAGGCCTGATAAGCCCCACAAAGGTTGTAACCAGTCGAGGGCTGTCGAATAGTTTTCAGCAACCTTGTGAGTAGTTTCCTTTATGAAAATATCCTAGCACTGGCTCGTCCACACAAACGGGTGCAAAGGGCAATGAGGCTTAAGAGGGATCATCACTTGAACCGAACCGGAAGAATTAGAATCTACGCTGGACCCGAATCCATGAAGGTTTCCACATCGACCTGAGGACTCACCCAACTGAATCATGAGTTGGCCTGTGTGCAGCACATTCAGTTGTAGAACATCATAAACGAACGGGAGACTCAGTTGAGTCACTCATGGAAACCAAATTGATTTGCAACTTAGTGTATTTCTCGAAAACGTGTTTTATCCTAATAAGGATGGGCCGAGGGTGAGACCAAAATATCAAAGCATGTTGCTATATTTCTCCTTCTTTCTAAGGACCAAAAGTTGTGTTTCAGTCCCGTTGCTATGGTGAACATATGCCCAACATATGGTTGATCGGCTCGTACGACAGCAGGTTTACAGCTGAATTGCTGATTAATTGAAGCGACAAACCGATTGATGCTCTAAGTCCGGTTTGTTTGTCCAGCCGCCTTTGGCAGACGTGACCGCACTGCATAAACGATTAAGTCAAATTGCAGTTTAATGTTCGAGCGTGTGTTTTGCCGATACATACAGACCTCCAGTCCTAAACCTGACAGTTAAGGAACCGGCCTCGTAGATCGTGACACATGGAGGGTTGTTTGATAAATTCTGTTTGATCACACGCAACAGACGTTTGTGGTGAAAAGATCTTGCCAGCTTTTTGTCGTTCGTCTTGGGAAAGGAAGGTGCTTGGATAAACAACCAATTAGACCAAGTTACACACCTCACTAGAAACGGGATGTTTATCTTGCACCATGTGCGGTCACGTGTGCATCCGCATGTAAGTAAATATAAGATGAATGCTCTCAGATATGGTCTGCAATTTTTGATAGATTGTTGATATCCTGGGTAGAGACATATGGCACCATATCTGTGTACATTTGACCAGAAAATCGACCCCACACAACGTGCTGCGCCACAATGCCATGGTGAACTGTCACCAGGGGATATGCTGATTCAGAGAGGCCTTGCGAAAATAGGGATTTGTAGTTATCTGTGCCGCCAGCAAATCGATTGTGACAACCTTCTAGTGTTCATTTATTTTGTAGGGAATGCGGCGCAGAGGAAGAGAGTGACGCAGATGACTATGACGGTAAATGTTGCTTCTAGTTTAACAACATGCAGACTTTCTGTTCACTACACACACCTACCGCGGATTGGGACGCGACGCTTCGGAACGTGTTTATGGACACAGCTATCCTCGCATTAGCTAAATACAGCCGTACTCTTGTCAGACCACACACTGTTCAGACATACCGGTCGGCGGCACTGTGGCTGTGAAAGCTTCCATTTTTTGGAAATTACGATGCCCGTAAAATCCGTAGTTCAGTCATAGGTTTACGACAGTGAATGACAAGCCTAGGATACACATGAAGATGCTTAATTTCACCTAATTGTTACTGGCATTTCGCCTGATATTGGTTTAACCTTTCTTCGGGAACAAACTGTTCGCAAGCGAAGTCTGTCACACGCAGACCAGTATGCGAATCAGGCATTCTGTCAAACGTTTTAGGTGAGAAACCCAAATGTGGGAAAAATTCATGAAAACGAGAGGGACCGTCTGGAGGGATCACAATGGAAAGCGGTTGCCTTCTGTCGCCCACTTGGACTAGCCCAGTAGATCAGCGAGCACGCAGAGCGGAGTCATGCTGCGAAGTACAAGTGCACGACAAAGCGCTGGATAAATGAAAGTGACAACGTGATGAACAGGCACTGTCAGGCAATCAAATCAAACTAGTCTGTCGGGTCACGCGCACAACGCCTGATGAATTAATTGAGCCGCACAGCCCAACATGTCCTTCCTTAAGTGCTGACAGTGGGAGTGCACACGAGGTTTAACAGAACATCCAACGCGTTTAGGTCGCTTTGCGAATGGGACTTTTGTTTGTGCTAATGTGGATGGCACTTGTGCATAATTCATTGTACGGTCTTAACTGCATTTGGGTGTTTGACTAAGACGATCCTCAGAGTTTCACAACATAATTTGGGTTCAGATACACCTACGCTTGGACATGACCCATCTGATACAATCTGCTGCAATGCATCGAGGAATACGGTATCCCTTAAGAATCCTGGTCAGCTGAAAGGGATAACCAATGTTACTTTTCTAGGTAGTCTGTAAGATAACTTCCAAAAACACTTAATTTTAGCAGTCTGGGCTTCCCACAATGGGCATGAACATACCAACGGTATGCTCAGGCAAGACATCAGCTAATTCACCTTCCCGCTCAGTGTTCAAAAGAAACAATCTAGTGTATTAAGAATAGGGAAAAATGGGTTAGCTGACCATATCCACACTATCCAAATAGTGGGGAAACTAATATATATGCAGATTGCAGGGGTGAGGTGAGGTGAGCAAGCATACCGTAAAAATTGCTCAGCGAGCTGAGGCTGACGTCTGCCAGCATTCGGCTGGTTTGGTACGTCACGGAAACAGATAACAAAATGAGCTAACTGATACAGACAGAAAAATAGGTCACCATCGTTCTCCCGAGCGGTGGTTACGTAGCACGGGACACGCTCACCTGTAGTTCTTGGCCGTCCACTCCTCTCATAAGGCAGACCCAATTACCCACAGACTGTGCTATAATTAGTCAGTTAAGGGGCGTTAAAAATGGAAGCAGATAAATCAACCGAGAGAAATGGTGTGCACTTGATCTAGGCCTCTCTGTAACCGCGTTGAGACGCATAAGACGCGCGAAGAAGTGGTAACAACTGTTGTTCTTGCAAAATAGATCCGAAAACCTCTTGACTTGCATGGCGACAGATTGATGCATCGTTTAATCACAAACGTTGGACACTAGCGGGAAACTGCTAGTGACCCTCTCAGCTTGGAAAAGTATGAAAGCACACACTGAATTATATGGATGCAAATAAACTGGCCAGGGAAGTGAAAAAGATAACCTGAAACCCATCTGAAACTCTCGTTTGTGATGTTTCCAGGCAACTGAATGTGCTGCACCAGGCCGCCTCATGTTTCAGTTGCTACGCTACTCAAGATATGGCGATACATGTATATTCTTTTTATGTCATACGGTTGCAAAGGTTAAGAGAACAGTATTCAACATATTTGAAGGGGCATGGTGAAAATGGACAGGAAACCGCGTGAGAGACGACATAGGCTACCTGTCAAAGAACAATTAGTTTAGGTCACCAACAGGATGACCTGAGTTTGTCAGCCTGGCTAGCTTCTGGAACTAGGAGGTAGTACAACACTTAGCTGACACTACACTCAACGTGATACCCAACCAGAGCTTCCGCATTGTTTAAAAGGCGCCGGCTAATCAACCCAAATCAGTACAGCAACGCACAATTGCAGTGGCTGAAGCTATCGCCATTTGACATTGCGACCCGATCCATTGTCGGCAAAAACGCTTTGTTCGTGTGTTGTACTTACCATGGTTTAATTCATCTTCCTCACACATGCACCCTGTGTTGAACACACCACCCGCGCTGACAAGCTCAAGTCATCCTATTGCGGACCTGAGCTAATTGTTCTTTGGTAGGTAGCCAGTGTCGTCTCTCACTCGATTTCCTGTTCATGTTCAACTATGATAAACACTGCTCTCTTAACCTTTGCAATTGTATGACTTAAAAAGACCTTGCCGAAAACATGTTCGTCAACCCATCTGTGTTCCTAGTATAAATGGGAATTTCCGGAACATATAGGTTCGTAATGTACTACTCGTAAGGTTGCTGAAATCTCCTCGACAGCCCACGACCGGCTTCGACCTTCTGGGGGCTCATCAGATAGGCGCAGTCCCCGAGTCTCCATCAACCTTATGTTCTACTTGAAATCAAATTGCACGAAATCGTTTGTTGCAAATCAGTGTAGTTTGCTACTTTTGTGCAATTTCAAAGTGTATTTGCAGGACAGCAATAGTTATCATAGCTCCGATGTGAAAATACCCAGCTAACTTCGCAACTCCGTTGTTTCGAAGAGATATTCCAATAAAAATGATACAAGGTCAGTCGTTAAACACTAATGTCAGACTACTTTGATGAACCTAGAGCTTGTAGTGTATGGTTTAGTGATATTTGTCTTTTGGGTGGCCGTCTAGATTCTGTGGGGCCCTCAGGAAAATCTGAAACCAAAGCGGATAAAGGCGAACATCTTGGGCCGAGATGCAAATGTGGTTCGAAAATTTGAAAAACGGTCACAATGAGATATGATTCAAGAGGTACAAAACGTTCAAGACAACCTATATGCCACAAGAGAGGAAGCAGAAAGACAGATTGTTTTGGGTATCCTTTCAAACGAAAGTTTTGCCCTATGTTTGGCGCATTTTTGTGGGACTGGGTCGGTGCACTTGGATATTTCCTTTCAAGGAGTAAATTTTCCATCGAATCGTAAGGTTTCCAATCTTCCGGAATCGTTTTCTCCTTGATATTACCTGCGTGTGTACTAAAAACACTCACAGACAGTTTGTACCGTCAAGTCCTGAAGTGAGTGCGTCGTATGATCTGGTCGGCCAAGTGAGGTGAGGCTGAATTTCAAGATCATACCGATGCTGCTAACATCAGACAATGCGTTTTTGCACCACGGCAGCATGCGATAGTCACACGTTCTTGCGAAATTAGACTGTCGCGCAAAATGCGGCTGAAAAAGGTCAAGGTCATGCGCACACATTCCTGTCGTTTGGTTTATTTGCTTCACGTTTTTTGCACTTCCCTAAATGAAGTACAGTCTGTGGGAAATCGTGTCTGGGATTACCGTATGCATCATGAGTGGAATGAGCTAACAAGCAAGAATCGATCAGTTTAATGCACCAAGTGAGCGTGCCCCGTCCCAACTGACAATCGCTCACGTTCATCCTACGAGGAACAAAAATCTCGCGAACCAGTTGGAATTGCGAGGAGATTTGAGAATTTCTGAGATTTCGCCTGTGAGTGAAAACAGTCCGTGATGGAAAGCCAAGAAGCACTCGACAGCTGCTTCATCCTTATAGAGCATTATCAGCAGTTCGAATCGCACGTCAAGAGGTTACGGGGTTCGAAACTCTCTGGATTCCCATTAGGGATGAAATAGTTACACGGGGCCTCTTAGCTTTCCAGCATACACTGGCTTCACTTCCAGGACGAACTCTCGAGTTAAATCCAGCCTATTTTTTTCTGCCTGAACGAGTTAGTTTGTTTTCTATAGAGAAAAATGTTGGTATCTCAGGTAGCGTAGATGGTCATTGCCTTGTTCACTAAGCTGGGCAATTTGATTTCAAACGTTTCATCACCAATCCAGGTGACATCACCACTGCGTTATTGGGGAAAGTAGTTGTGCGTAGCGATGGGTTAGTGATTGTGCCCACCACTACGCTCCCCAATAACGCACTGGTGATGCCACCTGGATTGGTGATGAAACGTTTGCAATCAAATTGCCGAGTTGGTCACTCATGCGCTGGCAGATGTCGACCTCAGCTCACAGATGACTTTCTTACCGTTACTCATCCCGTGGTATGCAGACTGTAAGTTTCTTATTACTTCGTTAGAATGAGAATGAAGTTTTCCAGCCCCTCTCTCNTCTCAATGTACGGAACTGCTTCTTCGAATGCCGAGCTCACATGTGGGAACTCGGTGACCCCAATGTCTTATCCAAATCGGGATGGCCACACGGGTAGATGAACCACCTTATGCCTTGCCGAATCCTGCTGTTGGTATGTCCATTCCCAGAGTGTGTGTACTGAAAAAGAGTTACAAGACTTGTACTTGCGCCAAAATGAAATTATTCATGTACCCTAATACCGTGAAATACTTCGGCCTTCATACTTTGTTTCCGGTAACACCGTTCACTGATTCCAGTTGGCATAATGACAACTTTGTGTGCTCATTCGAAGTCACTGATTGCTCGTTTTCGATTCTTTCCATATCGTTCGTTGCAGAGATCTACGTCACAACAAATTAACCTGCCTGGATGCCGATCTGTTTCGAGATCTCCCAGAGCTGCGTCATATGTGAGTTTATACGAATAGAGACCATTTCTCGTTTAGTTGTGCGCTAAGTTTTAATCCGGTCCAGCACAACGACATTCTTGACGATTCCTCTATGAAATTAAGCCATAGTGGTAACCAACGCTGAATAAAAACTAGTAGCGCACAGTATTTTCACTTTTGGTGATTTTTAGCTGGCCATTCCAACGCAAAACTGACCGGTACAGCCTGGTTCCCAGGTAGATCTTTCTAGCTGCTGTCTGGTTACTGTTTACCACCGAAAGTTTTACTTATTTCAGGAGTAGGTGTTAAGTTTCAATTCAGCAGACGTAGATATTCGCATAACAAGGTACTACTTATTATCACTCGAGAGAATGGGGCATGCGACCCACAAATGAGGATTTAACACGTATGCATTTGACCGAAAAACAAGCGATGGGCCCGGGAAACGAATGCATTCTACGGGAAGGTTACTCACTTTTGCAATAGCAGCAATGAGCTTTAAAATTAGACAACACTCGAATTCTTGGGCTGTTTTCACCAGATGGGCACAAAGAACAGGGACTTCTGGAGTAGCGTTTCCTCAATCCTCGTTCTCAAATGCAGTCTGTAATTTTATGAAAAAACGATTCCAACAGATAGACTGTTTTGTGAAAACAAACAAAAATTCTTAAGTCGGTTTAACCTGTTCCCTTGTTACTTACGATTATTCATCCGTTTGCGTCTAGTTATTTACTTAACGGGTTAGCCTTTCGCTGTCAAGGGCCAACTCCTCTTACTGGATTCATTATGCTTGTAAGAACATTTGGATCTTGGTAAACGATTGGCCGATACATCAATAGGCAGTTGTAATGTTGACATTCACCATGTCGATACCCTTCCACCGTGGCATGGATTTTCGTAAAGGGAGTTTTCCTTAAAAGCCACACTACACGCAGGCTGGCCAAAATTAATAACACAACACATACGCTCAGAGCGACCGCTAAAAGCATCGATCCGAGTGAATTGATATACCTAGTGCAAAGTTGTCCAATAAGTCACTGATTATCCAGTGATTGGTCGAGTATTTCATCACGCACTGTGTGAATTCTCCACCTGCGAATGCCCACTATTACGGAGTTTTATTCTAGTCTGAGGCTCCTGGAAAATACTACGGTTCACTTAGTGTCAGATTCCGTTTTTTAAGGCACTTTTCACTGATTGCTTATGATTGCTTACTTTGGTTAGTTGACGGTAACAAGTTCTACTCTTCCAGTGCTATCCTAGGATGACATACATTCGACAACCACGAGGGTTGGAGCACTTACATAGGCCTAAAAGAGTTTGAATGGTTGCACGTGCGTCTGGTGAACATGCTGATCTCTTGAGACCAGAATTAGCCATCGCTTAGATAACTCTGATTCTACAACGGACTCCTCTATCCAGTGATTTTCGGTTAATGACTTGCCTGTAGGTTTAGAGCAAGTACGGTTTTCAAGAAATACACACATTTGCAAATCAATTTGATTTTCACAAGAGACTCGACTGAATGTGTCCTAGCAAATTGAGTGTATTGCAAATGAGTGTATTTCTCGAAAACAGTCCAATTAGGGTTCAAGTAGAACATAGGGTTGACGGAAACTCGGGGACTGCGCCTACCTGATGAGCTCCAAGAAGGACGAAACCTGTCGTGGGCTGTCGAAGAGTTTCCAGCAACCTTGTGAGTAGTTTCCTTTTATGGAATTAGTGTTTTATTAACACTGAATCCAAACCACCCATTAGAGTTGGGAAGGTTCCCATGATAAGCCATATTAATGGCGTCAGATCTGTTGTTCAACTAATGCCCGAGAGTCTTTGGTCGACAAAATCTGGCAACTACATTGCTCACTGGTATTTCGTAACTTCTCTTCAAATGCATAACTTATCTGAGATGATAAGCGGAGAAAGAAACGAAAGCTACCGAGAAAAGAATCCACGTAGAGTAGACAAGATAGTTCCAACAAAACGAACACCAGTATTTGTTTTACAACTAAACAGTGTGACTTGGCGACTTGTGGCAAAAGCCGCTTCTCCAAAAATCACGACCGGTTATTAGTGAAAAACGTGTGAGGACGTAGCGTTAAAATCCACTGGCTCGTAAAGTTGCGCACATTACTCTCACTCTTCGACATCATCATGCTGTGTATTGCTGACAGAACGTCTGAAAATGAACTGCTAGTATTGGTTTAAGGTAGATTATTGATATAAAGAAAACTAATCACAAGGTTGCTGAAAACTCTTCAGCACCACCCGGCAGGCTTCTTCCTTTTTGAAGCTCATCAGGTAGGCGCAGCCCACGGGTTTCCGTCAACCTCATGCTCTACTTGAAACCAACGTGCACGAAATTAGCCAATATACACTCATTTGCAATCTAATTTGGTTGTTTCTTGAGACTCACCCGCAACCCAGCTGAATCTCTCGAGATTTGATGAACTTCTCAGGCAACTGAATGTGCTGCATTCACCAGGCATCCCCAAGCTTCAGTCGCAAATTTATTTGAAATATCGCGTTACATGTATATATTTGTATTGTAATGTACTACTCATAAGGTTGCTGAAAATCCATCGACAGCCCGCAAATGAGTGCATTTGTCGAAATGTGTCCAATCTGAATTCAAGTACAGCATAGGGTTGACGGAAACTCTCCCCAAGAAAGGCAAAACCTGTCGAAGAGTTTTCAGCAACCTTATGAGTAGGCGAGCTGCACCACCTCCTCGTGGTGCCGACCGGGCAGTTAAAATGAAATTGATTTGCAAGTGAGTGTATTTGTAGATTAGTAATAGTTCGGCTTTTAGAGGGCCAGGCAGTCCAGTACTTTGTCAGTGGTCCTTACTAAATCCGAGAATCTCTTTTGGTTATGCTGTTTGCAGTCAGGTTCTAGACTTCAAAAATTCTGGTGAGAAAATACTTCATACTTTTGCCTTATCTTTCGCCGCATTTTGGTTGATAAACTCCTGCAGGAGACAGGGTGTGCTGAATATAAACGAAACAACTTCGTGACGATCTGACATCAAAGGAACTATTCCGATTCGGCTCGATCACAGAATAAACATAACAAACGATTCACGCCAGAGGCAAAACATTTTTAGATGGGTCATAGGAATGCAGTGGAAGCTGACCTTTTGATTTGTACGAGTGGTTCCTTTTACGCTATGACAGATGAGCAGCTTCTACTGTTGTCCTTTATTTTAAGGCTTTAAAAATGACCTTCATATGCGTTTTGGAAGGGTTTGGTAAACAAAGGACAAAACTCATCATAGTCATCAATCAACCGTGTTATCTGCACACTACAAATGACACTCATAAGCAAGACGATGTAATCTACGGCGCCGACTGTTCCTTGGTGACCTCACCACCATCATTAGAGACATGGATGGGGGGACAATTGTCTATTGTGTCCCACACGGACGGGAAACTCAAGACTGATCTGGTGGGAGATCATGTGATAAACGCACCGTGTAAGATCACGGATGTTCTCCCACAGTGGTGACCGAAGGACAGCCGTCAAACTGTCATGTATGATTAGCGCCATTCTAGTTGAAGGGGCTGTCTCACCTTTCCGGTTAGTTTTCAACATTACCTCAAAATGATGGTGGGGTTCTGAAGGGGTGAGGTCCGTCGGTCAACAAGTTCATATTTAGCTGACGTCCAAATACGATGAGAAATGTTGCGCACTTATACGACATTGTTCGCCAAATCGAAATTTCGCATGTCTCTCGAACATTGGGACGGCAAGCTTATTAAGTCACCAGCCATGCAAAATGCTACAAAGTAAGATATCTTCACAGGAATGCCCCTTCTAAAATCAAAACTAAATATACATATATTATCACTATATATAAAATATATTATACATTTATGCCATTACATACATATGTGTGAGGTTCACGAAAATGGTGAGTGACGCAGATGGATTCGAGAAATGTAGGGAGTCCAGAGTTAATGAACTCCTTCAATTAGACGTCCACCACCGTTTGGGCTTCATTCTGAGCATTCAGATTTAAAATATCATCTCAAAGTGCGAGTTACTCACAATGCTGACCAGCGCTTCGCGGGCGAACGGCTCAGTGTTCACACCGCTAGCCGAGGGGTGGCGGATTCGGAACTCTCCAGTTCTGCTCTGTAAGATACGCACTGTTGATGTTTTCCAATAAGGATTCAACAACTGTACAGTGTTTCTCGACTTTTCAACGCGTACTAGCCTCGCTTTCAAGGCTAAATCTCAACTGGACTAAAACCCAGTTTTTTATCAAACCTACTTAGCAAATGCAATTTTTATTATTATTTATTTTTTTACTTTTCAAAAATCCCAATTATAATCGCTTGTTCAGTGAACACGCAGTATAGTGCTTTTGGTTTCTATGATAATCTAACACCGAATGGTATAACATCAAGTTCTATGGCCTATAAATGATGGTGAAAGAAAGGAAAGCAGGTTTAAATCCCGCTAAATTAACCAACCAATTGTATAAGACTCTCAACCCAATCGATAATCATTTAACCTTTGTTTTGGAAGGATGCAATGGTGGCTTATCCCTCTGGATAATGAGGTTCAATCAGTACCCCTTTATGATCTACACGGCAGCGTTCATAGCGTCCATGAAATCCTGAATGTCTCATGTTTTTAGGAACCCAAGTCCGGATTTGAACTTATTTGATATGGTGGTCAATTCTGGACGAAACGCTTCATGTTCTTTAGCCCACCTCTTGTCTAATTCATGTCACCGAAGACTCCTGGACCTCAAGGAACCACCGGCGATCTTTTGCATTCAAACATTTTAGGCTAAATTCAAGTTATCAGGAAATGACCCTATTCTACACTTTACCTCATCAACAAGCCTGATAGCAGGCTGAGGACTGACGAAGTCGGCGAAACGGGTCGGTTTCCATAAAGCTGTTTTTTGTTGCCGTTCCCACCAATTTATAACTGCCCATCTGCGTTCTCTCGCTCTGCACTGTGGTTCTGGGGACAAACGTTACGCATTCGAAAACAGGTTCTCTCAGACCACTTGTTTACCTGGCAACTGTATTCATATTTGATATCCAAAGTATGAGAAAGTATGAGCATGAGACTCTGTGGATAAACAATATAACGCACAAAGCTAAAATAATTAGTATTCTCCGACATCTGACGAACTGCATGAGACCCACAACCTTCAAACTGATAACAGAAAGCCCACAGATGATTGTTGCATACTGAGGCCACGATCCTCCCATCATACAGTTTGTATCACGTAATTTGGGTCATTGCAGGATCTCTCAGACAAAGAACGGGTTGTAACAAAATTATTACCCTTATGAACACGGTACTCATGGTTTTGAGACAGTGAAGAGTCTCTAAAGCTTCAGTTTTGTTCCTGTTAGCCGAGACAGCTTAAAAGACAAGGGGAACTGTATAAATAGGTTGTCGTTGCTTTACATCGTCACCACGAGGCTTCTGATTATCCTTTGAAGATATATGACCTGGTGGCCTACCGGTTAGTATGTAAACACCCTAAGGGGTTGATGAGTGTTGTGCATTTAGACAGGATGTAGCGCCACCATCCCACAAACAAATGGTTCACGGTACATGGTCGTTTGTTGAAAGGCTTCCTAAGTTGAAGTTGGTAGCAGGCACCTTCTAATTTTACCATGAAGTACGTCAGGTCCATCAGAGGAAACCACCTACTGGATGGTCTGTGCATTACATCGTAACGAACCCAGTGTACGACTGAAAGCCTGAGGTTTATTGACACAATGTCCCAGCTGTGACAGTTGTTTTGTTCGCTTTGCTCTGTTCTAAGTTCCAGAGAGGAAGTATAAACACGGATCTAGATTATTTCACTCCGTCCCACTGGCCGAAATGACATTTTACACGAATGTGATGTTCTAAAACTGTTTGCTTCAGACCCTACAGCAACAATGATGTCTGTAAATCAATGGTAGCATCTAATCGCAATGTTATTGGTGTTTTTGCAGCAACACAGTCCGTGAGAATTTAGTTGTTAAGGCAATAGCAACGTTATTTTCAACAAGGTTGGAATATCCGCCATTGGGAAGCAACAAATTGAGCTGCGATCGTACCCCAGCGGGTTTTGCTACCCATCCTGCAATATTTCATCTTGATTCTGTGAGCACAGACATAAATGCGGCTGCGTTACTCCAAGAAAGATTTGCACTGACCCGGTAATTGTTGTCAACTGTATCAAGAAAACACTTATGATGACGTGATTGCAACCCAATCTGAAATCCCACTAGACATGAAAACTCGAAGATGATGTGATATCAACCGCTGGCATCATATTCAAAGTGTTCTGAACTATTCAGTACATTTTTTGTGGCACCTTGACAACTTTACCCATCTGTAAAGAGTCGCCAGAATCAGATCGTTTCAAGAATTCCATCGAAATACTTGGCAGCAATTATCAGGACACCCTAAGATTTAAACTTTGGAAAAACGTGCTACTGTTAATTGAGCCTAAGAATGCCAAAGGCTGACATTTTAGGAGTTGGCAGCGACATTGGATATCTTTAAATACAACACAGGCTGAACAAGCGCAGATGCTATAGAAGCAGTTGCCTCCCCCGAACTTCCTCACCGTCAAACATCTTCTCAAGTGACCTTGGAGAGTCGCCCATCTGTCTAATGCAACAACCGTCTTGTTTTGATGATGGCCAAATAATTTAATGTTTATACACTCAAGTTGTAAGTAACCGCGGTGAAGCAAAACCAAACGTTTGTTCGTTCCTGTACAAAGCGAGTGGTAACATGTGACTTGACAGTGCCAGAATATAACCACTGTTATGTTGCTTGGGGCTGGTGAGCATGTGCACAAAACTTGTTGTGACAAAGGCATCGTTAGGCCTGAGCGGTCAGAACTCTTGGGCACTGTCGTGTGGTGCTCGTTTGTTGATCCCCAGGGGACTTCACGATCGGCTCTGCAAATGGGAAAATGGGGTAAACTAAATGATACAAAACCCAGTAAACAAGTCAAAACGCAATACCGATAATTGCACAGAAATCACACAGGGGCAGCTGTGTCACTTGTTAGCTACACTTCGAATACAAACTAATTTAAGCTCCGTAAACTTGCGACGTCAAACTATCGTGACCGTCAGAGCGTTTTTGCCATAGTTTAAAGTTTTTTTAGTTCATAACACAAGTGCGAATGTCTGCAATTCAAAACCGCACAAAACCATTCCTTCACTCATCCGAGCTTAACAAGTTCGATCACTAATCCATACTAGGAAAACGAACCAATTCTGTCACAGTATTGGGTCACATGACTCTAAATCTTCCCCTAGTCCAAAACATCCGCCACGTTTTCCGCACAATGGAAGCACAAATGGTGAATCAATCTTGGTGTTTCCAATTGCAAAAGCATTTCATCACAACCAGAACGACGCACGTTGCCCCTTCATTTTCTCACCATAAATCTGTTTCCTCACAGCAGTTTTGTATCCGTTAAATGGGCTAACAGATGGAACGAGCAATCTTTCGCGGAATTCTGTGTTCGGGAAAAATGCCTTAGTTTTATAATTGTGGTAAGTGAGGACGGTATAGGCGACTTTCTGAAGCGATTCCACTTCTGGTCCATTTTTTTCAATTTCATGTTGTCTGGACCGTAATTCACCAACGAGGCGTTGTATTTATGATTGCTTTGAAGCAGCATTTCGGCAACTTAACGGTTTAATTTGGTTTATTGTCTGCGCGCAAGTGTTTTTGCTTTTAAAAATATATAAATTTAGTGAGTTTGATGTTCCTTGTTTTACCGAAGTGTACTACCGTAGGTCGAGGAAGTGGGCTTGGACTTTGAATGGATGATCAACGGGAACTGCTATGGTTTAAACTGCTCTTTAATTGACAGAATGCAGACTGGTGCTGTTAAAGTTTCTTTGCTCTTTGATTGGCAATCCTCATCAAGAGAATGCAGACTGGTGCTGTTAAAGTTTCTGTGTCGCAATTATACGCTGAAATAATATTTAAATGAAATTCCATCTTGAGGGGCTGATCTACGCTTAAAAGTCTGGAAGCACTGTATAGGTATTTTGGTCTTGCCTGTAATCATCACGAGTTTATGGAAGGCTTCTGACCCACCAAACACTGGCTGGTTTTTGAGCATTATATCATTCGGCCACTGGTGACTGATCAGCACTGTAGTTAAGTCGCACTTAACATCACTGTCCTTCAACCAAATACTCCACTCCCCTACCGAATAATTTCGGGAAGTACTGGAAAACCAGTTCACAATTGTAGGGCAGAATCAGTAGAAAGCACACGAAAAATCTCACATTTGGTTAGAACAGAAAGCTTTCAAGCAATGAGCGGCTGGTCAACGGAGTAACTACCCTAATTGTCACCATCCTTTGAAAGCTCTCTGATTAACGTATGGTTAAAATAAGAGCGTTGCTTCTTGACTATGAGATCAACGCCTGAGTTGGTTGATGACATTTTACATTCCACCGAAAGGTCCGGTGGGTGCGAATAGTTCGTTTGCTTCAGGTTTCTGGTCTTTTCAACCCAATCTAATCGAACATTTGAGGTTTGTGCCACAAACACGGTACAACACGATCGTGTTGTACCATTGGCAAGTGTGAGCAATCCTAACCTACAGGGGTTCACAGTGGGTGATTACATCAAGCCCTAGGTTTTCCCAGCTGATCGTCGCAAACAGGTACTGAGCATTTCAGGTCCCTCTCGGACATTTCGAATTAGAGTAAGGTGCGGAACCAGGTAACAGGTCCATGTCAGTCAATATCATCCGATATTGTCAGTCTGTCAAAATACAGATGGCTCGGGGTGCATTTACTGGTGGTTGATCAGATGGTCTGTTCCCCGAGCTGAGCAATTGGCTTGTAAACGTTTCGTTCTCAGTCGAAAAGGACGTCATCAGTGCGCTGTTGACTTGACCCAATCACTCCATGTTTCATACTTTGCACACTCCTCTACAGGAACACGAGAATCACGGAAAACATACTACCAAAGGCTTGATCAGTTCGCTGGATAAGTGGTAGCTTTTACAAGTATAAGTGTACAATGACTTACAGACTTACAGCAGTATGTAAGTTCGCCTTCATTAGAAAAATGAGTCATGTACCAGCTATGTCCCACTTAGCCTCTATTCCCGCGGTCCTGGGTACCCATGAATGACTCGATTTTGAGTAAGGATTACCGATCAGAGAGCTCTAGTTTCCAGTGGCTTTGGAGCAAGCTGTGCGTGACATCCGCATAGTGCAGAGCCTTTGAACAAACCGCATAGTTTGCCCGCAGAGAAAGTTCTCACTTGGAGATGGAGAAACAATCAACGTTCTTCAGACAAACAGATGTTTTGCTACCAGTCACTGAGCCGTTTGGGGCGGGGCGGATCAAATTCAACTCAACATACAGGTTGAAAATGTTATGCTCAGCTGACAAAGTGTTTTTCACCGGCTTTGGTTGGTTGCCTTCTACGTGCCGGTTTGAGTGTAAAACCGCCAAAATTATCTGGAAGAACCCAAATTCGTCACTCGTCGGCCAACCCATCAAGTATTTCACACAAATTTGTGGAACAGTTTCCTCGTGGAAGTTGTCACGGTTGAGTATAGCGAATACACACATTTTGGTCGAATATACTAGAAATCCTTCCAACATCCTGAAAATATCTCAAATTGTTGGTCGGGCAGTTTAGTAGATGAGCGATCCACTGCTGATTACCCAATGTTCTTCAAAAAAATCGATAGGCACTCGAAAAATCTTTGAAATAAAATCGAACGATACATGTGTTTGCATGAACAAGTGTTTGCCGAGGTCCAAAATTGTCAATGAAACCGCTGTTTACTGAATAAAACAACGACGCACGTGGACGATAAAAATACACCGACAGACGTTCGTGAATGATATGATCTGGAAACTGCGCTTGTTGCAATTTTGTTCCAAGTTCACCAATCTCACTTTTTAATATTAGGTTTACACATGTCTATCTAATTTGTTCGAACAATCAGCCATGCCTACCCACTTTATACGTTCTGTCCTTTTCGTCTGTTGCAGATACCTGTCAAACAACAATCTGGTGTGGATTGCCCAAGACGCCTTTCAAGAACAAAAAATGTTGGAACAGCTGTAGGTTCATCTGGTTCTAAGTGCGGACGCTTTTTCCAGTGTTACAAACATTTATTGGGATCCGACTAGGCACGGGTGCATGATTGCTTTGGATTTAATCACCGACTGGATTAAAAGCATAAGGAAAAGTTTGGGCTGTCCCAAACTTACACTCATATTGGAAAAATCGTGGCTAATAGAAGGGATGAAGTGTAACTCCGGGACGAATTGGTGTTGCATTTGTTAGGCTTATAGAATCCATGTAACCACATATTTAGAAGAAGGAAAAAGAACGAAGGGACGTGGGATAACACAACTTCGTCTGCAAATTCCTTCCGAGATTGACTACGTTAAACAAGTAAGCTGGTGCTATTAAGAAATTCAAACATGAGCATTTTGAAAAAAACCTCCAGAAAAGGACTTAGAGGACCACAGTTATGCATTATGATATGAGAGGGCAAGCAGTTGTAAGTAAATTACAAAGTTCCACAACAATTTTATGTTCTTTTTCCTGTGAGAGAAGGATGAACGTCGCAAAGGTGTTAGCAAAATGGACATCTGACAAATTCGGTACCATGGCTGCACTAACCATGGCCATCACCAGTTGAAGCGGCTATTCGAAATCGGGAAAGTTTGGAATCGCTGCAGACCCCCTCTAATATGACTTTTCTAGCTATTCCTCGAGACTGCTTTCTTACGGCAAATCATTTCGGTGCAAGCGAGAAAAAAACATGTTGAAGTCTCATTCATGGGGTTTTTATTCCTGCTCGCATCATTCCTCTTTAAGGTCGAATCAGCTGGATCTCAGTTGCCTCAACTGTGGTGTATGCCTTCGTTACATGTGCCTATCGGCGAATTTCTTCTCTGAAAGAATGTTCAATTTGCGAAAAATACACTCAGTTGCAAATCAATTTGGTTAGTAAACTACTCACGGGGTTGCTGAAAACTCTTCGCAGCCCACGAATGGCGGCCTGTGCACAGCACATTTAGTTGTAGACTATCATAAACCAGAGATTCAGTTGAGTCACTCGTTAAAACCAAATTGATTTGCAAATGAGTGTATTTCTCGAAAACAGATCAATTTGGTTTCAAGTAGAACATAAGGTTGACGGAAACTCGGGGACTGCGCCTACCTGATGAGCCCCAAGAAGGGCGAAACCTGTCATGGGCTGCCGAAGAGTTTTCAGCAACCTTGTGAGTAGTTCGCATTATGAATTGTTCAACTTAAATATTTCTGCTTTCATATGACACAGTAGTTGGTTTTACAGTGAATGCAATCTCCCACAGTCTCCATCAATCTATCGATAGCGGACTGCACAAGTATGATCCACGAAGAAAGCAGCTTTTGACGCTAGAATGACGGGGAGACCCACTTTACAAAAAGAAGGTAACACAAGGAACAAGATGAATAATGGGAAAAGAATTTTAATGTTAACAAGCCCAGAATCTGGCATTTGTTATGAGAGTGCTAATTTTAATTGAAGGATTGGTTAAAAATGTAGAAATCTGACAATTTTCACTCATTACTTTTTAGTCGTCCAAAAGTAGTATGCAAATCTAAAAGGGTCGAGCTTTCTGCCATCAGTATAATTCAAGAAACATGTGGTTTATATGATTGCACCGTGGAATGTATGACCAGTCCTTTTGCATTCGTTGAAAGAAATCTATATACACATGTATCTGGTTAAAGGTGAAACTCTATTTCTTCGACAAACGAAACAGCACACATCTTGTAAGAAGAAAACGGAACCAAACGATTACTCTGGTGGACCGATCTAGTTGGATAACCATGGCAGGGAGAACACCAAACCCGGACGTCGTTTCAATAGGATGGATTTTCACAACGCTCCTTAGCTCTTTCAAACACATGAGTTCAACTGCGATATACGTTCAGTTTACACAGTTCAAGGATCTCACTCAGTTTTTTTTCAGAAAACGTTTGACCGCTTCGCTGCATTCTAGTGTCGTATCAGCCTTTTGAAAGTAACAAATGTTTTGAAAAGTTCGGAAGGTTTTTTGAACAGATAGATCTCTGTTTACTCTCATCAATCATAATTAGATCATTAAGTGTGATGCCTATTTCAGGGACCCCTAAGTTGTTTCCACTTCGTAATTATACAAAGTCGTCGTAGTGCGTTGCGATGTACTCTCACGGTATCACCCCATTACCGTAGAATAGAACAGACTTTCTCCAGGCATACGTCTGTATGCGTCTATGTGTTATCAGCGAGGGATCCGAGCTTTGCTTTCCCCCAATTGTCGAACAACAAGAACTACTGATGGGGCATGCGAGTACTATATTGTGCATTCGTAAGTCCGCCTCGCGTCTAATGGAAGGTGGGGTATATCACGGAACTTGTGGAACTGCTTTGCGGCCTTCGTTTAGAATCGCTAAAAGAATAGTCAATGAATATCCACGACAGTTAAAGACACGTGAGAATTTTGAGTTTTTAAAAATTATGTGCATATGAGATGTTTACTTTCCTTCCAACAGTTTGTCATCGCGGTGAGGCGCTTTCCTCTCTTCGCCAGGTCTCAATAGACTCTCACTTCTCCGATGGTGCGAGTGTAGTTACTCATCTTGACTTTGGAAGGAAACCGCATGTCACTACAATTCTGTATGCATGCTAACCCGATGAAAAACGAGAAAATAACACCGTTGAGAGCTCAGTTAGTATTCAATGTGCGATTTACAGCTTGACATCTCTAAGTTCCTCAAATGAACAACAGCCTCTTAGCTAGCCAGACATCCTTCTGTGATACAACGACCCCAACGTTCCATCCACTCATAAACGAACTCAGTGACTGAAAAAGTAGAAAATCCCGACTGATCATCAAAAGAACCAGGAACGATATTGCATCCAAAGCAAGACCGCGTATCAAACATAACCACCCCAGCCCCCTCAATAAAAAACATCATTCTGTATGCGAGCCCTACCACATAGGATGTTTTTTGCGATATGAATTCTAGATAAGCTTACTTTACAAAATCTGTCGCGATCACTGTTTTGAGGTGCTTCAATGGAAGCAGAACATAATCCCAGAAAACCCCATATTTTCCGACGAGGGAGGTGAAATCTCAGTTTAAAAAATCCTTAAACATATGTGGAAAATAATCAGTATGTTATTCTAGCACAAATGAGTGGTCAAGACAGTCGGTAAAATGTTAATATCCCCGTTTCTTCCGTCCTACCGAATGAGTGCCCTGGTGTAAATTTTTAGCTTACAAGTGAGCTTTCTTTTGCATGTTTAAATTCCCTGCATAGCATTTTTTTCTGACCTTGTCGATGTTTAAATGAATCCAAACCCGTCAAATTGACTTCGGAGTTTATGAAGCTTAAACAAAGACAACGGGGCTTTCCACCGTGAATCTCTGCTCAATGAACAATGTAAGAACTTTGCTGAAAAATTTTCGACAGGAGTATGTTACGCTTGTATAAGGCAATTAAATCCAACGCCCTCCGAAGACGTTGTTGAAAACCTCGTAAGGTGTTGACACTTCTGCTAATCCCTCAACTCTTGATCGTTAGTCACCCGAGTTAGCAAGAAAATTAGTTGCGAAAACAGTATTATAGGTAGGATTTTCTGGCGAGATATTTGTTGAATATACACAGTCATTAACACAACTTGTATTAATACACACGTGTATTAAAGTACTTACATTTATGTATGTGTAGGCATCCCGAAGACAATGACCCTTTTCCAACAGATTCTTAGCGTATGTGTTTTTAGTCGAATTTTATTCTTAACAAACCGCACTTACTGTATCTTCAAACAGGCATTTGCGAGGAAACCAGTTTCGCTGTGATTGTTCAGTTCGTCCTCTGATTGAGAACTTTCTCAGAACCAATAGACTGGATATTTTGCTTCGCTCTGGAGCGACTTGCTACGTGCCTGATGGAACAACAAGACCAGCTCAGAGTGCGCTAGATGCACGACTGTTGTCTACAGTGGAATGTTCTGGTAAGTCATTCTGGCCCGTTTTGAATATTAAGAGGCCGGAAACCAGAAAGGCGTCAAAAAGCTTCTATTTATTTCACGCGTTGGTTTTCAGAGAATCTTTTGGATTTGGCCTGGGGATTGAAGTGAACTTGGATGCAGGCAAATACTACAACTAGAGAAATGGTTTTTCAAAGAAATAACAAAGCATAACCAAAAAATCCTGATGAGTAACGATCCTCTGTATTTGGCGAAATACACTCAACCGCACTTGAAGTAATGATGTAACCTGCTCTTTATCCACTTGCAACCGGAAATAAAAAAATTGTGGCGCTGCACAAAATGCATAGTCACCATTCCACATTGGAAATTCAATAAAACTTTATTTCTCAGCTGGTTGATCTGGGCAAATTTGAAATAACGTTGCTAGTGGTCGACCATGAGTCGATTTCCGCACTATGTGAGTCAATAAGTTCGTGAGAAATTTGATGAAACCTGCCACACTAATCGCGGTAAAACTGAGTTGTAAACCAACCCCACTGTTAACAGATCTAGTCTACTGTTAAACGGAAAACGTTCGGTCGTTCGGTACTCATTTTTTGTACTATATTCTCCTGCCTTAAGATTGCAGTATCCAAGCTCTCAGATCGTGTCTTGGGATTCTGTAGAGTCTACATTGCTCGTCAACGTCTAAGACTGGCCTTGAAAAGCAAGAAGAAGAATGAACTTAAACAAAACGTCCAAATGTTCGTCAAGCGTTGTCATTTCACTGGAAACCCCTGAACAATGAAGCAGTAACACATTACCCCCAAAACTGGATGGAGTTCTGAATTTGTCAAACCCATCTCACTTCGGGAACGTAATGATGCTTTCCATAAAGGTTGCATATACGAAGTAGTCTGTGCCATCTCAACTGTAAGTATAGGTTCTTTAAGAGCGAGAGCACTAAAGTCATTGGCATAACGGTGATACCACTGTTGGGAGAGGCAAGCGAGTAGTATGTTTTCTTGTAATTCCGCTTTGCGTCTCTTGAAAAGTGAGATTTATTACGGAATTTGTGGAGTCGCTTTGTAGTATTTGTTTGGATCTGAGCAACAGTCAATGAATATCTAGGAAAGTTCAGGAAGACGCGTTCAAAGAGAAGAGAGATATCCAGTTTTTGTAAACAAGGTGCATATAAGAGTTTTGCTTCACTGTCCAATAGTCTGTAACTGTTCAGTGGGGATTTTCTAATAAATAACTCCGAAGCGAAGGCCTTCTTCCTTTCGATGGTATCGCTCACAGGCACTACGTAAACATTGGTTCTCATTATGAGCAACGGATGAGGTTGAGAATTCTTGCTTTTGAGCTTGTACAAACGGGATTTACCTGGGCTTAGATGGGATATCAGTGCCGAAAAATAAAACATAACCAAGGAGTCGATAAATTAATTGCTTTAATAAAATTTGCCTGGCTTCCTTGTTGTCACGTCTGTTGAACCTTCTCGTGGTTACGCGTAACCAATTGCGACCAATTACGTGGTCAATTAGGACAACTCACGTTCTATATCTTACGTATGCATATGAAGAACGGATGATTAAGCCAGTACTACAATTATCACATCAAGAATAGCTCAACTCATAAGCCGTATGTGAACAACGAAGAATACTTCAGATGCTCTCACAGCTGCCATTCAAACTTTTTACATTAGTGCACGAGGAGGAGATAACTGAAGTCACATACAAAAACACACAAAATAGGCTTCCACGGTCTTTCTTTGGCTTCCTTAGTAACACGTTATCATATCATACTGAATGTGCAATACGCCAATCAAGTTGATGTTTAACTAACCACGTAATGTCCTTTGGCATTGTTCGTTTCAACGACTTCTTCATCAATTTCACATGGGGTTGCCTTTAAAAGTGTATCTTTGGGTCGCTTCTCTGGACTGAGTTTTACCGTCAGTCAGATAGCGGAAAAATCCGCCCCACAAATTACTTACTTTGTTTTTGTACAGTGCCTCCTTCTCATTGTGCCCCTTTTCGTTTTCATGCCGAAGCGCATTCAAACATGGTTCCATGCATTATCGATCGATTAGGTTGTATTCCCCTACACAGGCATTCTGGCCCCTTAAAGTGGACCAGTCGACAAGAGCAGAGACTACACAGTACAACGTACGCTTGCCTCATCATTACGACTGGGATAATCAAACCATCCCGTTTACGGACGTAATACATACATACATATGGTTGTTGGAAATTCTTCAACAGCCCACGACCAGTTTAGCCCTTGTTGGAGCGCATCAGGTAGGCGCATTCCCCTAGTTTCCGTCAACTTTGTTTTCTACTTGAACCCTAATTGTACGAAATTAGCGAAATACACTCATTTTCATACCAATTTGGCTTTCCGAGGGACCCACCTAGAATCCAGCCGAATCTCTCGTTCATGATGTTTGTAAGCACATTCAATTGCTTAAAAACATCATAAACGAGAGATTTATTAGGGTTCTAGGGGAGTCTTGCATCAAAACCAAATTGGTTAGCAAATGGGCGTATTTCACTCATCCTTTGTGTACCTAACAAACTGAATGTCAGAGGTTTCCTCACACTGTAGTACTTATTACTTCGACTGAAATAAACAAAATCATTCGCTATGAAAGGCAGAAGAAAACGCTCCTTTATTGAGCTCAAACGCATTTAGAAAAGGGGAGCATGTAGCAGTGTGATGTCTTCCCATCTATGAGACCCCTATGCAAAGACTAACTCCAATTGGCCGTTTTTCAACTAGTCAGAATGCTCCCATTAGAAAAAGCGAGCAATACCATCACAAAGAACTTTGAACCAACGCTGTAAAACTTTACGGTATACGTCACATTTCTGTCCAAAAAACAGTCATTTTTACCTGACGTCGAGTAAAAAAAAGTTATATCGGTTTGGGCGATCATCATTAAGGTGCGAGCCTCAAACCTAGTCAGGATGAAGTTTCTCACCTGATTAAAACAGAGCGACAACGCGAGCAGTCATAAATCCCTCTTTCTCTTTCCTGCGATATTCTGTGCCGCCGGCAAAAGTGGCTGAAACCCTTGGGTTCACGCTACCTGGCTAAGCTGATAAAGTTAAGAATAAAGAAAAAAGTGTCAGTTGCTGGAATAACCAGTCTCCTTAATGCCTCCATAATACCGTGAACCCCGGATTGAATAGCCGCCTGATCGCCTGGTGCCCTTGACCAAACCAGAAAAAGTCAATGAACGTGCGAACCCGCTGATCTATTGATCACCGTCGCGTACAAGCGGTCAAAGGCGATACAAAGAATACAACTCATCTGTCAAGGGTGAGTGAAGAACAACCAATGAAATCTGTCTCAACGAAAATGGTTATTCCGTTGGCTGTTATGTAGCCCCGTTACGTTCATGGCTGGTTCTTCTAATACTAACGTACTTTGATACGTTATCCGTAGGAATAAATGCCATCTTGGAAGGCTAGATGTGATCCCTTGACGTGATTTGAACGATGAATTATAGCCATGTGATAATTTTGCACAAACACCACCGTTTTGTCTCACCTTAATGAAAAACGAGTGAGTGATTCATCGCGGACGAAATGTTACGCAAATTAAAGAAAGGCAATTAGTTAGTTTGTGAGTACCAACCCTGCACAACCACCCCATAAAAACGGTTTTGTTGTGGAGTAAAGGCAATGTGCCCTGTGACTGATAAATTGTTATAGAATGAGATCGTTGGCGTGAATCGCAAATTAAATTTTCCTTTTAGTTGTTTCTACTCTTTTCCTTTTTGGCGCTGTGCACCGTCCATTCGAGCCGAGGGTTGTCCAAATTCCCCATTGCGGTAATTCGATTCCCAAGCGTTTACAAAACAGATCCCCCTAACCTAACTTCGCATCTTTCTGATCAGGTGAAACATCTGCCATTTCAAGTGAACTTTATTCAGCGGGCGCGCAGATATATTCCGCCTTGTCAGCTGGAAACTTGGGGGTGGCGAAATAGAAAGTTCGAGTGACATTCTGCAGACATATATAACAGGTACTTAGGTTTCTTCCACGTAATGCATGAAAGCTGAGATCCAAGAACTCGGTGTATCAGCACACTTGCACTCAGTTCAAATAGACCAGATTGTCGGTGGATAAGGAGAGCTGTCTGGTCGGATTGAAAATAGCGAATTTCACGTGAACTTTTGGGTTTTTTTTTGGGATCCTGCGTAGTCAGAACGCCGTGCAGCTTGATAGTCTAAACAAAATTGCAGCAATTCAAAGTGAAAGATTTTCAGTGCATTTAATTTGCTACATAGCTGCTTTTCGTTAAGGACTATAAATTCTTTAGGTAAGCCATATTTCATGGGTCTTTAGATTCGACAAAATACATAAAAAATTGTTTATAATTTCATCTAGTGTGCAAACATTTTACCTATTTAAATCTCATCAAACTGATTTTAATAACACTACAAATATCGGTAAACGTCCCACCTGATTTAAGCCAAAAGACCTTCTGATCGGAAATTAATTCCTGAATTAGAAGTTGAGTAGAAATGCAAATGAAACGGGTTTTTTGGTTTCTAGTTTCAAGTTAAGACACTTCAAAAGAAACTGGGACCACATTGACTTACAGAGAATTGGGAAAACGGTTTTCCCTTAGCCCATGAATTTGGTTTTGATCTCTCGCTTGTGATGCCCGCTTCACATTCCGTCAAAAAGGTCACTATAAAAGAGGGCTTCGGATGGATTCAGTTGAGTCTGTTTCGTGAATGTCTACAATATGAGTGCAATATAAACATCCAGTCATCCATACTTATTACCGTCCTCATAAAAAGCGGGCGCTAATTGTATCTGGTGACAATGGAATCCGTCACCATATGAGTAGATGAAAGCTCCCGGTTAAACGTTACGTCCCAAAACAGAGGGGGTGCGATGGCCCAAGTGGTTAGAGCGCGACTTTACTGACTGAAAGGTCCGTGGTTCGAACCCGACACGCTCTGCCTCTCGACTTCCCCTGTCTGGACTTGGGCAACCTGGCAGTATCCTAGCCCTCGTGCA